AATGACGTCCACGGAACCCCGATCGGGTCCAAGCAAAATCAATATAGATTCAATTAAAAATGCGTTTGAACCTTATTGAAATTGGACCCTGATTTTCTTAGGGTTTGGGGATAGTTTTCTTTAATCCAGGGGGTTTTCGGCCCAAAACCTGCCCCCGCCTTTACCGTAGTCCTCGACCCCCTAATTTGACCCGAAGAATTTCCTTCAAATCTGAAGGGTTTTATTCATCAAGAGCACGGATTACTATTATTGCTATGTTTATTGCTATTATTATTCTTATTACTGGTTCCATTATCCCTATATATCCCCTATATAAACCCAATATAATCTCTATATAACCCCTATATAAACCCAATATAATCCCTATATAACCCCTATATAAACCCAATATAATCCCTATATAACCCCAATATAGTAAGTAAAGTTCTTATTACTGGGTAGCCAGCCCAAGCGCTGTTGAGCGAAGCTGCTCCAGGAGGCAGCGCCTGTGCGGCCTCAATCCTCTACACCGATGCCTTTTCCCCAAAGGCAGGCTTCGTGTACTTTTGTAGCTTTGCGTAGCTTTGTACTAAACAATTGGGGCAAAATACTTTTCCTGCAATTGTTTAGTACTTTGTGTGAGCTCTGGAGTATTTTGGAGTAGTTTCGAGGGCTGTGGAGATTGACGGGTACTTCTGTCCAAACAGGTCTGTGCTGCGTCACTCGGTGGAGATCCCTGTGCCGTGCGTCAGGACCAAGAGTGAGACGACGAGGTTTCAACATTTGGATATCAAGTTATCATGTTAAGTTTGCAGGTCTCTCTTCAGCTGGTTGAGGTGGGGATGTGAGGGCTTTTGGTGTAGAAATTCAACACGGAGCTTCTGGTTGACAGCAACTCTACGTGAGTCTTCCCAAACAAGCTCTGCTGTCAGCAACATGATTTGGTCATCATTTTGCGGCTTCGCAGCCCCTATTACCATTATTAATATTGTTATTACTACTAGTACTGCTACTGTTATTATGTTATTCTTATATTCATTATTACTACTATTAGCACCTAGCCCCATCCTGGACGGAAACGCTGTTGTGAGGAGCTCTACGGGCTTTCGGCGCCGTGCCGTGCGGGATGCATGGAACATGCAGGACAGAGGGTTGAGGGGAGTATGGGAAAGCCGGTGGTTTCATCTGGAAGCGGCTGGGCTATAGGTGTAAGAATTCATAATAATCCTCCTACTACTATTACTACTACTACTACTACTACTACTACTTTTCTGATATTGATTTTCCTATGAGTATGCTTCCGAATATTTTTATTAGAACTAACTGTTGTATGAGCTCTCATTCGAAGACCTTTGAGGAGATCTTGCTGGCCTGGGCCATCTCGAGGCATCCCGGCCGAAAGGCTCGGCCGCCCGCCAGCGATTTATCAAACCTTTTGGTCAGGCGTGGAGGTCAAGCTTCAGCGCAATGTGATCAAAGTTGTTGAGATTAGTCCGTGGGATGGTTCAGAGGTCCTCTGGATATGAACACAGGCTATAAAGCCTAGATTTTGCACACTTTCTTTGGCTGTTGCACCACACAAGGCAGCGCCACGACCTTCCTTCACCACTTGCGGACGAAACAGACACTCGGGCATGAATCGTGGTAGGCCCAGGCTTTTCAAAGTGGCTTGCCAAGTTTGGCTGAGGCTTGAGGGCCGAGAGTTGCGCAAGCCATGGTCTTGCTTCCAGAAAGCCTTGTCAGGAGTTCCAGTGGTATTTTGGCCTGCTGTTCCCTTCCTTGGAGATCGATCTCTGGGAGACCCGAGATGGACAAGACGTGGACGCTGCAGTAGAGCGCGGGACCTAGCTTTGCTTGCAATCAGCATGATACCATCTAGACGTAGTACAGACAATTTTGAGTTAAGCCTGAAATTCCATGTGCTCTTCGGACCAGGGACTCAGCGGCACGTCAGCTGCAGCTGGCTCTCAGATCGGCAGATCGCGACGGAGATGGCTGTTCGACGGTGGCTGGCTCAGGCTTGCCAGAATGCTGAAACCTCAAAGTATCCTGCACGTCGCTCTTCTTTGCTTGGATCAGTGCGGCTCCCTTTGTCCAACAGAATTAAGCCTAGGTGGACGAGCTCCATTACGGGCTGCGCTGTCTTCATGGCTACCGGAGCCTCATGCAGGATGCTGCAAGGCAGCTGGCGTCCATGCCGGCTGCTGGGCTTGGACTCTCAGGGTAGGTCTTCTTCAGCTCCAGTCACACAAGAACCCCTGAGGCTCATATGAGTAGTATTTTATTCGGGGATACTATGGTACCCAACACAGAGTAAGATTCTATCCTCCTTTTGGGGTATAGTAATGTATATAAGGAATATTATCTTACTAGGTTCAACCACCAAAAAAACACTACTCATATACTTGACCTTCTTTTTTCACAGTGTGTTTCCGCATAAACAGAATCGCTAGTAGTGGATGCGTGTTTACTTGATGACAGGTTACCTCCGACCCGGGACACTTACAAGCCTTGTTGCAGTCCCTGAACGGTGGCATCCCTGTCCATGCAGCTCAGGCACCCAGAGCCGCAAAAACTATAGTCTTTTACCTTTTCTTATCAAGAAGCTGAGCCCGAAGAGGCGCAGCTTGTGCTGCGGGAGGCGAAACTCGTGCCTCTCGGCGTCAACTCACTTGTGCCCCTCAAAGACTTCGATCCTGCACGTTGAAGCCTAAGCTGTTTGTACTCGTAGAGCGGAACCGAACATGGGAAGCATGGGAGCCGGGAGTGGCCCGGGTATTGTGTGGCAAAACCTTTGGAGCGAAGGTCAGCATGTCCATGAAGCCGTTTGTGAAATTCCTTGTCAGGCTGTTCTTCGTGTGAAGGCAGAGGGTCACAGGCCAAACTACTCCCATCTGAGAACTGCGAGCGTATGCACAGATTCCTGAAGAGCAAAGGAGAAGTGACAGCAGCCGCACCTCAAGCACGCGCGAAGAGCTGTCACTCAACTGCAGGTTTAGCGTTGTGACTACAGTTTCGGCGCTGTCTGAAAGTTCCGAATTCCTGACTCTCAGGTTTGGCTCAGCGCGTAATGCAATAAGGTTGTGATTGCAATATCCGAAGGCGTAGTAGCGAATGGATCATGAGGAATGACCATCAGAACCACTTCAGCTCATGTAACTAGCTATGAGCCCCATCATTGTGACAGATCGACGCCTTTTCGGGTTAACGCTGACGGCCAACAATTTGGAACAGTGAAAGCAACGGCATGATCTCATCATTGGGGCCTCAGAGCTAGACATCCTCAAGTGAGTTAGAACCAGCTTCGCAAGGTTGTGGGGCCTGGGCTGCTGGTACGTCAACGTCCAGCGTGAGGATCTGCCTCCGCAGCCCAGTGCTGTAGGATTAACTCTGGGAGAGAGAAGGCAGGCAGAGAATGGAGTGTCTAGACCTGAAGGGGATTCCTGCATCTCGGTGTAGGACACGCAGTGGCGTGATGTCGTGACAACAGCGGTTCGCCGATGGATTCCGTCTGATGAGGCTGCGGGTGGAAGATGTGCAAGATGCCTGGGGCAATTTGCTGGGATAGAGTTCTGAGTGTCTTGGCATCCAGTGCAGGAACATCACGGGTGTGTTCTCCATGCGACTTGACTGGATCTTCGAAGTCTTGCTTGCATGATTCGGCTTGGGACCTGGATGTCTGGAGTTTGGGAAACCTTGGGGAAAGGGGCAGACTCTGACAATAATTTCTTGCCAAAACTCATCCTCCAAGGAGCTGGCTCGCATGACCATGGACCTACCAAGAACGTTGCCGATGCCAAGTCGCTTGAGCAGCCAGCCGGTGCGAAAGGACGCCTTGAGCTAATATGATCGACAATCACAAGGTAGAAATGTCTTTGGAAGTCATGCTGGCGCACGTGATAGTTAGCCCTGCGAAGACCAGTAGGCAGCATTCGACATTAAGTTCAGGTGTAATCATGGCAGGACCCTCTTGGCCGAATTCCATGGTGCAAGTGATCTTGTTTGGACGGCTGTAGAGATGCTGCGAAGGTGGTTTGATCGTTTTTCACCCCCCACGTTCCAAGCAGGAGACCTCTGCCAGCCGTGCCAGTCAAGCCTGTGTGCTGATGCTGGCAGTTGCTACCTGGTTTTGCTTACAAAGTGATGGGGTCCGGATGCTTGCTGGCCCTTGAGAAGCTAGAATCTAGAAGGTAGTCTTCGATGAACAGCACAAGGACTTTTCAGTCGCAGCCGCTTTCTAAGGTTCTCCACATCGTCTATTTTCTGCTACTGATCTTACCTTCGGCCTTCTTCCTTGTGATGATTTTCATGGGTGATCTCGGCAAGCATTCCAAGGGAATATCTCAGAAAGACGCCAAGCAGGGAGCTGGAGCAAATGCCTGGGCCGTATTTAGTGGTATTGGTACATGAAACAGCTGTTGCTTGGTAATTGTAGTAATTCTTCTAATTACTAGAATTACTATTCTTATACTTACTATACTTACCAAAATTCGTATAATAACAAAAAGTATTATTGTTATAACCATCAGAATTACTAAAGTTACTATATAGTATAGCTGTGGACGCGTGCCATGCCAGGAAGTGAGCATGGCGATGATCGTTGCCCCTTTGACCTCGATGCCTTGCTCGTGTGCCTGGATTATTGTGGAACATTATATTGGGGTGGGGAGTCTATTAGAAGATAGTATAGTATATTATAGCATATTATTGTACATCATAGCATATTATAGTACAGTATAGTATATTGTAGTATATTAAAGTGTATTACAGTACGTTGGGGTTATATAGGGGTTATATAGGAATAATACCCCAATAAGGGAGAATCAAATGGAAAAGAAAATGGACAAGGAAATGGACACTGGGATTATTATGGGTCATGTTGGGGTTATATAGGGGGTATATTGGGGTTATATGGGGTAATGGAAAAGAAAATGAAGACTACTACATAATAGGTAATATATTGGGGTTATATAGGGGTAATGGAAAAGAGAATGGAAACTACTATTATATAGGGTTTATATAAGGTTATTACCTCATGGGTACCTGGTTTCCATCCCGCTTATCGCCGGTGTTCCTCCGCACTGAAGATCTGCAGGTGGTTTGGAGCAGTTGGACTGGCAGTTCTGGTGGTGGACTGTGCCAACGACGGCTGCTCAAACCCGATGGTGTTTTCTTTCAGACTGTTGAGGTTTCAAGATCCCTGTAGTTCTTGTGGCATATTGTGGCGCGGTGTGTTTTCTTCGTTTCCTGGTTCCACTGACAGAGTAGCATGTGAATTCTGACTTTTCGGGGTCCGGCAAAAGTCGCCAAGGCAGCTTTGGCGTCACAGCGATCGCGAGCTGCTTGAGGGCTTTGTTGCTGCTCACGCCCTTTCTCGGCATGATCTGGACCGGTTTTTATATGGGGCTTATATTGGGATAATGGAAAATAACATGGAAGCTACTATAATAGGAAAATAAGATGGAAACTACTATAATATTGGGGCTACACTGGGGTTTTTATTGGGATAATGGAAAATAAAATGGAAACTACTATATAACATTGGGGCTATATTGGCGTTGTATTGAAATAATGGAAAATAAAATGGAAACTAGGAAGTTCTGGATAGGAGTTGTTCTCAGCGCAATGCGGCAGCAAACTCTGCACAGGACACATGCCTTGAGTCGAAGTGATGCCGATGTTTGCGGACCCTACGTGCACCTTGACCTCAATTTTCCATGTGCTTGGCCGGGTAAGGAGGGTCCTTAAGCTCGGCTTTGATTTTGGAGCTTCGTTGAAATTGGCTATTGGGATATAGTCCCCCTTTGGTAGATAGAATATATTCTAATAAGATCCCCATTTACCCCATATTCTATGTATTCTATCTACTTAAGGGGGATTATATCCAGACCCGCCAAAGGTTCTGGACGTCCAAGTGGCTGTGGAGCGCGTTGGCTTCGTGCGAACTGTGCCCAAAGAGCATGCATGGGTTGTTTGCTGAAGGTTTGGAAGTTGTTTCCAAAGGCACTTCGCAGGCAAGAAAGTGCTTAGGGTTTAGGGTTTAGGGCTTGGGGTTTAGGGTTTGAATTGGGGTTTAGGGTTTGGGATTTAGGGTTTAGGGTTTAGGGTGTAGGGGCGACAGGGTCCAATTACAACCAAACGGGAGAAAATGCAACCACACGGGGGAAAACACAACTGAACCACTGTTGTGGGCTCTCCCAAACAGGAGAAATTGCAACTGGCTATTCCGGTGCCTATAAGTTTGGACATGCTCTGCAGAAAACCCATGGCACAGACTTAAGGTTCCATTACCAAAGCTGGATAATGGTGGTTGTGATTTGTCCCTTCTCTTTGCGCCCTAGCACGAATGAGGACACAACATGGTTATGGTGATTATTTCGGTTTGTATGCTTCGGTCATGTAGGCGCGACAGGCATGTAGGCAATACTTAACACGATTATTAGTTTAACGCCTCAAAGACCCTTTACACTTAGTCAAATAAAGCCCCAAAGACCCTTTGCATCTCAAATAACGCCCCAAAGACACCTTACTTCTACTCAAATAACGCCCAAAGACCCTTTACATCTCAAATAAAGCCCCAAAGACCTTTTGCATCTACTCAAATAACGCCCCAAAGACCTTTTACATCTCAAATAAAGCCCCAAAGACCCTTTACATCTACTCAAATAACGCCCCAAAGACCCTTTACATCTCAAACAAAGCCCCGAAGACTCTTTACATCTACTCAAATAACGCCGCAAAGACCCTTTACATCTCAAATAACGCCCCAAAGACTCTTTACATCTACTCAAATAAAGCCCCATAGCCCTTTTACATCTACTCAAATAAAGCCCCAAAGACCTTTACATCTCAAAATTAAGGCCCAAAGACCCCGGAGTTGTATTATCACCCATCTGGTTGTATTTCCCCCATCTGAGCCCATTTCTAAAAATTTCAGTTGTATTTTGGCCCATCTGGTTGTATTTACACCCATCTAGTTGTATTTCGACTTATTCTCGGGTGTAGGGTTTAGGTCGCCTGCAGAGGTACTTGGCATGCCTCTTGGGCTGGAGCTTCCATGTGGCCCGTGTCCACGAGCTAGCCCTGCGCCGGAAGGCTACCAGCAATTGATCTCAAACCCTAAATTGGGGTTTCCTAAAATTAGGGCTACCTTTTTAGGGGTCCCCATAATAAGGATTATTGTATATTGGGGTGTAAAATGGGGTCCCCACGTTTTGGGAAACTACCAAACAGTAGTTTCCATTTTCTTTTCCGTCATATAACCCTTACATAACCCTGGAAGGCCTCGTGACCTTTTTCTTGGCCGTTTACCTTAGATCTGAACTGGGGCCAGTCCTTAGGGCCTTTTGCCTCGAGTGTGCTGCCAGGCAGATGACGACATGGATGCGCAGCGGAATCCTTCGTCGCCCCAACGCCTCCAATTCATGGACTTCGGAGCAGCGACTTTCTCTTAAGTCCATGATGTACATAGTGACCGTTATGGGCATGCTGCCCAGTCATACCATCCGGATATCCGGAGATTGCTCGGTGTCGTGCCCTGGCTTCCACCCGCAGCCAGCTTGGTTTCAGCATCGCTTGCCAGAATGGAAAAAGGTCTGCAAATTTGCTCCGAACAGACCCACATCAAGTAAAACTGGCGATTTTCATGTTCGAGACCTGCCAGAGTACCTCCCCAATGCTTGCCAGAAGCTTTTCAAGCAGATGATGCAGCATTTTCAGACTTTTCAGACCACAACTGAAGTTGCTCGCATCGTATCAGAATTGGGGAACCCACACAAGCAAAGAAAGCCAAACAGCTTTCCAGGCTGAGCCAAGCCCCGGGGGCCCGACCCGCCGCCAGCGCGGCGGCCGCGGCAGGCAGCAACGGCACGATTAGTATTAGAAGAATATATGGCTAATAATAGTAATAGCAATAATAATGGTAACAGTACTTTGGCGCACTTTTCAAGAAGCATCTTCTTTGAACCTGCTTTCAAAATGGGTCCAGCGCGGCGGCAGCCTGCTACCCCAGAGGCCTCAAAAAGATCGTGTTGCGAGATGTTCTCAGATTGTAAAAGCCAGAATTCAGCAAGAGAGCTGAGAGACTCAGACCCGCTAAGCCATGCACAGATAACGGGGTATATATTGGGGTTATATAGGGATAATGGAAAAGAAGTGGAAACTATCAAAGAATAATGGGTTTATACAGTAATGTGATTCTACAATAGTCGTAATAGTAGTACGAACAGATATGATAGTAATGCTAATAATAGTAGTTAAAATAGTAGTAGTAGTAGTAGTAGTAGAGGAGCAGTAGTAGTGGTGGTGGTGGTGGTGGTGGTGGTGGAGGTGGTGGTGGTAGTAGTAGTAATAGGAGGGCCCGCCGCGTCATAGCCCCTGTAGTTTTTGAGCCCAAGCCATAATAGCGTTCGTTTTCCAAGAGCATACGGTTACCAGAGCATCCATGCCCAAACTATAATAACGTTTGCGTTCCTGGATCATACGGTTACCAGAGCATCCATGCCCAAACCATAATAACGTTCGTGTTCCAAGAGCATACGGTTGCCAGAGCATCCATGCCCAAACCATAATGACGTTCGTGTTCCAGGAGCATACGGTTGCCAGAGCATCCATGTCCAAACCATAGTAACATCCGTGTTCCAAGAGCATACGGTTGCCAGAGCATCCAGGTCCAAACCATAATAAAGTTCATGTTCCAAGAGCATACGGTTGCCAGAGCATCCATGCCCAAACCATAATAACATTCGTGTTCCAAGAGCATACGGTTACCAGAGCATCCATGCCCAAACCATAATAACGTTCGTGTTCCAAGAGCATACGGTTGCCAGAGCATCCATGTCCCAACCATAATAACATTCGTGTTTCAAGAGCATACGGTTACCAGAGCATCCATGCCCAAACCACAACGTTCGTGTTCCCAAGAGCATACGGTTATCAGAGCATCCATGCCCAAACCATAATAGCGTTCGTGTTCCAAGAGCATACGGTTACCAGAGCATCCATGCCCAAACCATCATAATGTTCATGTTCCAAGAGCATACAGTTGCCAGTGCATCCATGCCCAAACCATAATAACGTTCGTGTTCCGAGAGCATACGGCTTCCAGAGTATCCATTGAATCGGGCAACGTCTTGTCGTGGTCCCGCTGTAACCCCCAAATGGCCCATGTAACCTTGAAAAAACACCGGGACTATGACGCACCTCGTAGTAGTAGTGGTAGTAGTAGTAGTAGTAGTTGTTGTTGTTGTTGTTGTTATTGTTGTTGTTGTTGTTGTTGTAGTTGTAGTTGTAGTTGTAGTTGTAGTTGTAGTTGTAGTTGTAGTTGTAGTAGTAGTAGTAGTAGCAGTAGTAGTAGTAGTAGTAGAAATAAGAATAGTAATACTAATAGTAATAACTCACAGGCCCACCCGGCGCCCGGCCTTCCTCCGCAGTGGGCACACGTGGAGGCCGTTCTCTCCTTTCTTTGCTGTGGGCTTGTCGAAAGTTGCTGGGGATGCATTGTAATGGGGAGGGTAATATAGGGCAATACAGTAATATGGGCACTATTCCGGGGTTATGTTGAGATAATGGAAAATAAAATGGAAACTACTATGTAGTGCGGGGTTGGACTCTCCGCAGCGCAGGCTGTTTTGCGGGTTGCTCTAGTTGGCTTGGACTGCATCGTTCGGACAAAAACTTCACGGCACTCTGAGTCTCGTAGGTCTTCGTAGCTCCTCACAGGTGTATAGTCCCCCTGAAGTAGATACAATATGGCCCTGGAAACAATTATAATAACAGCCCCATATACCCCATAGTCTATCTACTTAAGGGGGACTAAAGGATCAAGGCCAAGACAAGACCCAGTGAGAGTCCGGTTCAGCAAAACCCTTTTCCCGCTTGCTCACGCGGCTTCGATTGCTGGTGGTTGCGCCTGCTGCTGCTGCTGCTGCTGCTGCTGCTGCTTCGTGATGATGCTTATGATGATGAAGATGAAAATGAGAGGAGGAAAATGAGGATGAGGTTGACGATGGTTACTATTCTCACTACCCAGAGGTCAGAAGGCTCCAAGCGCGCCCGAGCGGCAGGACAAGGCCTGTTCGGGCATTTTAAGGGGTTGTCAAGTCTGGATAGTTCAACGTTTGGAACACTGCCCAGCCAGCATGCTGGGTCTGAAAGATTCAGGGACATGCACAGGAAAATTAAGACAAGAATGAGGAAGCTCTTTCAAAGTGCGGAGCACCAGCATGGAATCTGTTGTAGACCATCCAAACGCTAGGAGAATCAGGATCAACTTGAAGGCTGACCACAGCATCATTGTTAATGACAATAATAGGAGTAATAATCATAGAAATACAAATACCAATAATAAAGATAACAAGAGTAATAATAACTATAAGAGTAATAAGTCCACTTGCGATTTCAATGGAGCCTGGCACGGGGCGCAATGTGCAGGTGGCCACAGTTGATTGCCTGCATACTGCACCTTTTGAGTTGGTCCAGGATAGGTCTAGGGCAAATGTCACTCTATACCCCGAAGACGGCACATACTTGCAGCAATGTTTGGGGTCATGTAAGCTGGTATGGGAACGGTTCAGGGATTTCGTAGAAGTGCCTGGCGAATTGTTAATAATAAGAATAATAATCGTACTAAGAATTAGAATAGAAATGATAATGGTAATAATGAGAATAGCAATAATAACTCTAGTAGTAATAATCTTAATGATAATCATCATAGTAATAACCCCAGGTAGAGTTTTGCAGGTGAGCGCACCGCTTCGTGCCGCTGGTGCCGCAAGACCAAGCTCTGCTGCAGGCAGCCGCGCGCAGGCGCCAACTTCCAGTTCCAGGGACAGAAGTCGGGGAGTCCATGGAAGCTACTATTCTGGGGTTATATAGGGACAATACAAGTAGATTATAGTATATCATAGTATATTATAGTATATTATAGTATATTATAGTATATTGGGGTTATATAGAGGTTATATAGGGATAATACCTCACCAATGGAGAATCAAATGGAAAAGAACATGGAACATGAAATGGAAACTGGGATAACTATGGGTCATATTGGGATTATAGAGGGGCTATACAGGGGTTATATAGGGGTTGTATAGGGGTTGTATAGGGGTTACAACAGGGTTGTATAGGGGTTATTCAGGGATAATGGAAAAGAAAATGGAAAGTACTATTTAGGGTTTGGGGTTCCTGGACATTTCCCCTAAGAATGGAGAATCAAATGGAAAAGAACATGTAGATTGAATAGAAGCTGGGGCTTGTAATCGTCCAGAGGTCGCGGCCCCAACGCCCGCACAGCGCCTGGCAGCGACGTCCGCAGCTACCGGTTCCGCACTGAAGGCCGTGCAGAAGGCAACCCGACGTTTTGCACGAGTTATGTAGTATATTATATAGTATATTCTAGTAAATTATAGTATAATATTGGGGTTATATAGAGGTTATATAGGGATATAATGCCTCAATAATGGGTTGAACCACGTCTGGTGATGTGTGGAGCTCTCATGGCTTTCCTTGAGAGGCACGTGGTGTCTCCAGCGGCTGGGCAGGCTAATTCAGGCTTTGCAGCAGGACTGCAGCGGCCTCCACGACTCGATCAAACGATTTGGGCAGTATGAAGCCAAATTCTCACAATGTAGATGAGGATATAGTCCCCTGCGTTGTTGATGGGTCTTACGGGGATCACTTCCACGTACGCCGTACGTGCACAATCAGCCTGCAATCAGATGAGATGAAACACCAAACTGGCGGGCACATTTCTCTTGTCAAAGTCGCGGGGACTTGGGTCCAATCCTTCTTGACTGTTTGAGAGAGGGGCCGTGCCACAAGAGCGGCACTGCAAGCCATCGGATGTGGGTAGGCCAGTGCTCGGTTGACAGCAAAAAAGATCCACGGTACCCGGGCGTTAAACGTACCTCTTGCCCTTGGTGCCTGCATTCCGGAACCATTTCAAGCTCAATCGAGCTGTGCTTCAATCAGGTTTTCAACAGTTTCACCAAGCGCGCAAGTAGTCGCGTTCGACTTCGACATTTCGAAGATGCGCCGGGAGCATATCCTTGCCAAGCAAAGATGAAGCTCCTCTTGCGAACTCCGAGCGCGCCCCAGCATGCGGCATCTCTTACCTCAGCTTATGCTGCCAAATCCTGAAGGCAACTTGTTTTGAGCATGAACGCCAGCGAGGGCTGTGCTGCCTGGATTCAGTTCGCCAATTCATGCACATCTCCAGCATTTTTTCGTAATTGATGCATGTCAGAGCTTGCATTCGACCCATGCAACTCTTGGTGTCTATGTGGTCGATAATGGTCTAGAGTTCTGCAGGAACTACAAAGCGACCAGTTCAGTCAGGTGGCAAGCCGCAGGATTCCATTGCAACAGAGCTCCAAACACAATGCAGTGTGTTGGTGATCTACTGAGCTTGCTACCGCTCCAGTTTCGGCTGTCCGTTTCCGAGTGACGTGTGCCA